AAAAAGAAGGGCCGCAATTTTTTTTATGAAAAAATTGACTGAAAAATCGCACCTTCAGCATTCTTTACTGAACAAAAATGCAATTTCTGATTTTTAAAAACATTTTCTCAAATAATAACAATTTAAAGTGAATATGTCAGCTTTCTTCGAACCTTCCTCGATAATTTTATGTTTAAAATTCAAGGATTCACATAGAGAATAGGAATGGGAGATCAAGGATTCAGAGGATAGAAAACATAGATCAAGGATATAGAGAATAGGAACAGATATCAAGGATATAGAGAATAGGAAAGGAAGATCAAGGATTCAGAGGATAGAAAACATAGATCAAGGATATAGAGAATAGGAACAGAGATGAAGGATATAGAGAATAGGAACAGAGATCAAGGATATAGAGGATAGGAACCAGAGATGAAGGATATAGAGGATAGGGACCAGAGATTAAAGATATAGAGAAAAGGAACCAGAGATCAAGTATATACGTAATAGGAACCAAAGATCAAGGATATAGAGGATAGGAACAGAGATCAAGGATATAGAGGATAGGAACCAGAGATCAAGGATATAAGGATAGGGACCAGAGATAAAAGGATATAAAGGATAGGAACCAGAGATCAAGGATATAGAGGATAGGGACCAGAGATCAAGGATATAGAGGATAGGGACCAGAGATAAAAGGATATAGAGGATAGGGACCAGAGATAAAAGGATATAAAGGATAGGGACCAGAGATCAAGGATATAGAGGATAGGAACCAGAGATCAAGGATATAAAGGATAGGAACCAGAGATAAAAGGATATAGAGGATAGGGACCAGAGATAAAGGATATAGAGGATAGGAACCAGAGATCAAGGATATAGAGGATAGGAACCAGAGATCAAGGATATAGAGGATAGGGACCAGAGATCAAGGATATAAAGTATAGAAACCAGAGATTAAGGATATAAAGTATAGAAACCAGAGATTAAGGATACACAGGATACGAACCAGAGATCAAGGATATAGAGGATAGGAACAAGAGATCAAGGATATAAAGTATAGAAACCAGAGATCAAGGATATACAGGATCAGAAGAAGATATCAAGTATTCATATAAGTTATAAATTAGGATTTCAGCTACACTTACACCGGGGTTTCCATGGGGTATCCACTATCTATATATCTGTATACTCAGTACTCAAGTAGGTACTCTGAAAATAGATGATCACCATGGTTCCAACACGTATCTCGGGGGGGAGAGAGAAGGGAAAAGCAGCTCTGCCTGAACGGAGAAAAAAAGTTTTAAATAGATCTCAGAGAAATTATTGATTTAAAGAAAGTTGAGACAATAAAAAATCTCGGACGGAGAGAGACTAGCTGAGAGAGAGAGAAATCATTAACTAATTAAGAAAATAGAGAGAGGAGAAGAGAGTATGTGTGACATACTGACAATTGTTCAGGGACTAATCAGAAATTTCAACAAAGTATAAAACAATTAACTGCCTTTAGTCTTAAAACTAAAAGCTATCACGCTCTCTAGAGTAAGGTATAAGGATCCTCTATGCAAGGATATGAAACAGTAGTATCTACGCCTAAATCCAACTCATTTCAATAAGATGAATCTCACATTTTTGTTTTAAAGGGGTTGGTCAAAAATGTTAACAAAGATATAAAAAATTAGCAAATTTCGTTCCAAAAATGCGCAATTTCAAAGAAAGAAATGTTTAAATTTCGCGAAAAAATGTGCAACAAAATTGCTTAAATTGCGAGAGAAAAGAAGGAAAAGGTAACATTTATGCAACATTACTTGTACGACTTTTTTACCTTGAGGCTCCTCGAGTTTTAATTTCTCGCATAAGTATAAGAAAAAAGCAAATTTATTCGCTTACATATTACAAATTAAAAACATTCCCGATTTTCTCAATAGCTTTTCAATATTAAGAGTTATGATTGAAAACCGGAGTTTAAAAAATAAACGATTTCTCTCTAACGCGAAATGGTTTGACATGAACCCTGAAAAGTACCATAATGACGTCAAATCCCTGGCTGAAACACCATTCTTCGATGCTCGTTATTTCTATGCAAACGCATGATTATGTTTTAAAATTTACAAAATACACTTTAGGTTTCAATTTTATATGTTTTTCATATCGTGGCGATAGGGAATGGAGTATTTGCAACAAATATTGTATTATTAGACTTCAAATCCAAAAACTGTTCTTGGCTTGTCTGATTGGACCCAACATTTTTGAGGCAGCACAAATGGGAAGGTGTATTGATGCTCAAAATTACAAAAATTTGTATCCAAAAATTTAGATTTTTGTTAAATTTAGCGAATCCAAGAAAAAATACTATTAAATCCGCGAACATTTTTGTTATTGTTTTATAATGAACAAAGAAAATATACTCACAGATAGAGCCTCAATTATAGGTTGAAATAGAAGAATAGTATGAATCAGAAATATGTGTCAAAATGCATTTTTCCCTTGTCTACAAGGAATTAAAATGCGTAGATCTAAAAGAAAAGAACAGAAAACAGATGTGTGACCAGATAAAAAAAAGATTCAATCCACAGTTCAGAAAAATAAGGATGCAATAGTATACAGAGTTCAGAAGAAAGAAAGCAAGATACTCAGCAATTTCAAATTGATGGCTCAGAAAAAAAGCAAGATCATTTAAAAATAGTTCTTACTTGTAACACGGCAAACTACAAGGACATCCAACAAAATTATTTCTTTTTATTTTCAAAATTAGCCGAAGTATGATTGAAGGATGGACCAACAAGAAAAAAATGAATAACAAGAAATATAGAAATCTCAAATATTTCCATCTGATATCATATGAATATTTAAAAATATTGTAAAATTTAAATAAAATAAATTATTAAAGTTAAAAAAGAAGAAAGGCGTGAAGCGCCCTAAAAGCCTGGTATTATTTATATATATATATATAAACTCAATTTGTAGTCCTACAACCATGACATTATAGAATATTAAGGTTCAATTCTTTACATCTTTCGACAAATAATAGATATATAGAAAATTTCCTTCGGCAAGAACTTGATCTTTTGGTTTTTCTGAAATTTCATTAACTGGCCTATAGAATTATTGTGTAAAAATATTCTAAACTGAAATTAACTTCCCTGCTTTTGTTACCTAGCATGATCACTCCTGTATGTCGAGTCCATTAGCGCCTGATCCAATCATCAGGGTTCAGTCGTGTGTTTGTTGACTATTCTGAACCAACATAAATAGCATAGCGGTAACATCTATCTTTCTATTTATTTCATTATTCAATCGATCAGAGTTATGAATCCTTCAATCGGCGCTATCAGTAATTGGAAATATGTACTTCTACTGAAACTATGATGTGATAATCCCCCATGCAGTTAAAACCCGATTTTCCGCAATTTTGGAATAAACTTTTATCAAAAACTTTTAAAGAAAACAACAAAAAGAAATAAAAAGAAGAGTTCTGACCGCAAAGAAAGTTGATTCAAATAATACGTCGGTCCAAATGAAATACGTGAAATATTCTGTAACATCTCTAATTTTAAACATTTTAATAAATTTCCAAAAATATCCATATATATATATTCTATTTATACATAGTTAGTTTACTATTTAGTTACAATAACACATAGTCATAGTATTGTAATGAAAATACCGCCCGCGGTATTCTCATCTGTGTTTTTGAATAGGAGAACCAAAGAGAATCATACTGTTCATGTACAGTGTACATGTGTACATGGACATACATAATCTGCAAATATATCTCGCCCCACCAGAGTACATTTGAATATCCGAGATGTGCCAACCTTTGCAGTCTTTACAATTTATAAAAGCGGAGAAGTGTGATATACGTGTATAAAACTATGCAAGAAATTCTACTCCTGCACTGAATGTGCAGTCCAAACGATGCTAGATCAGGGTTTTTAAGGGTTAGAGCCGATTTTCAGACATACGGCCAGTAAGACTTATGAACTTATGAATATTATATGAATATTATGAGTTATACAATAAGTTAGGACTTTGAACTTGGAAGTTTTGAGCTTTATCTAGATCAGTGGAGTTTAATTCAACATTTAATGTGCTAAACATTGTACAAAACTTCATTCTGTACATTGTACAGTGTACAATTAAAGTATGGAAGGAAGCCTTGAAAAATTGTGTATGGCACGGATGTCACTTGTACATATAATATGTTGTATATTGTACAATTACATATATGTATATATATGTATTTTGTACATGAACAGTAAATTCTTTTTAACAAATAAACAATATCACAATTATATAAACTTTTAACAGATAACAATTATAATATCTAATAAAAATATATCCATTTGATCCATCAAATGTATTTATTTACATTTTTAAAGGATTTCAGATGTTATAAAGGGAAACCTACAACTGGTTATTAGTAGAGAAACCCATTAAAGTTTTACACTATTCTCCTACACACAAGTTCTTCCAAGTAACAAAGCCTATTGGTACTTTCCAAAAAATATTTTTCTTGTTTAAAATTTTCCAAAGGAATTTAAATTTTTTAATGGACAAATTTCCACTTTACAAAGGAATTGAGTTTTTGCCACAAACTAGGATTTTCTAATTTCAATATCGTTGCAAAGCCAATGTCGTAGACCTTTAATATTTCAAACTATGAATGCTATCAGATCAAATAATGTAAGTTTGAAATATCAAAGGTTTACATCATAAGGTTGCAAAGATATAGGTTTTACAAAAACTGAATTTCTGGCAAAGACTCAATTCCTTTCCAATGTAAATCTTCCCAAAGCAAAAATTTTCAATTTTCAGACTTTTTAGTGTTAAACTTCTCAACTTTACAATTTATAACTTTCCAATATATAACCGCTATATAAAACCTTCTACTGTTTATCCTCCCAATATTTTCAACTTCCCAACGTATAACTTCCCAATATATAACTTCCCAATGTATAAATTCCCAATATATTACTTCCCAATGTATAACTTCCCAATGTATAACTTCCCAATGTATATCTTCACAATGCATAACATTCCCATGAACAACATTTTACTGTATAAAAATAACTTACTAATGCATAACTTTTAATGTTCAATTTCCCAAAGTAAAACTTCCTATTGTACAACTTTCCAATGTTCAGAGCTTTATACTTTACCCGGAGATTTAAAATACATATACTATATTCGACTGTCTGGCAATTTTTAGGACAGACAAAAAAACAATCAGATATACTAGTCCTACTCTTGTCATAAATATGAAAATGAAGAAATAACCATTTTTAGAATAAATTACTTTTTGAAATGTGTGTAGAGCTAATATAAAGCTTTTTTTAGAAATAAGTCAGGATAGATAACAATTTTAGCAAATCTATTAATGTGCAAATTAATTTGGCACACCTTTAAATGTGCTAGCTAATTTGGCACACCCATAAATGTGCTAGCTAATTTGGCACAAAGTAACATTTACAAAAAGCTGATGACTTTTTGAGCCCGGTTTCATTCTTTAAATTCCATTATGTAAAGAAATATAGATGTAGATTTGTCCACAATCTATATATTTATTGTTTATCAACCTCCAGGTTGTTCTGTACACTGTACAGTATATCACTATTTGAACAATATACGTACATTTAGACAAGTACACCTTCTTTAGGTTCAGTTTTCATACAGGATTTGAGATTCTCTCTAGGTAGGAGAATAAGTAGAGAAGTTAAGGTGGTGAGATAAGGAAGTAAATCTGTATCTGAGTAGGAATAGGAGTATGGTACTGGGTAGAGATATTATCTTTATTTAGGTAGAAGTAGGAAAGTATAATTTGAGTTGGTAAGACTAAAGATAAGCTTAGAACGGAGAATGGAGAAATCCGTATCTTTGGTAGAAATGGAAGAAGGAAGGTAGCTTGATGAGAATTAAAAAAGGTGGACGGAGTAGTATAGTAAGGAGAATGATGTATCTCTATCTGGAATAGAAGGAGTAGTATAGGACGGAGAATGGAGAATCTGTATCCGGAGTAGAATGAGTAGTATAGAACAGAGAATGGAGAATTTGTATCTTGAGTAGGAGGAGTAAAATAGGACAGAAAATTAGTATCTGTATCTGGAGTAGGAGGAGTAGGATAGGGCGCAGAATGGAGAATCTGTATCTGGAATAGGAGAAGTAGGATGTACGGAGAATAGAAAATCTGTATCCGGAGTAGGAGGGTAGGATAGGACGTAGAATGAAGTATCTGTATCTGGAATAGGAGGATTAAGATAGGACGGAGAATGGAGTATCTGTAACTGTATCCGGACTAGGAATAGGAACAAGACGGATAATGGAGAAGTGAGATGAGGAGTGGGGACCATGAATGAATCCATAAATTGGGTTTGAGAACATGATATGATATTTTCAGTCTTACTCCTGTTTATTCCTCTGATGGATAATTATCTTCGTCTTGTTTAAGCTGAATAGACGAGGAGGATGGACTGACTGGTATCTGGGACTGATACCAGTCCCTGTTATCCTCCAGAGCATCCAGGATATCCTGGGCATCAGGATGAACTAGATCAGCCCAGGTCTCCCACAAGGGATGAACGATGTAGTCAATGAATCCAACCTAAGAATTAAAAAAGGATTTACGATTTTTTTGTCCTTTTGTGATATAATATGATAGAACATATGCTAAGAAAATAAATTGCGGGTTTGTAACTTTTTTTGTGCACTGTACGGTAAATTAGGGGGTCATTGAGTCAATGAGCCTTAACTTTGGAACCCAAAATATGAAGATTTTTCTTGTTTACAATGTTAATTATTTTTAATATTAAACTACTTTGAAGAAGAGATGAAAATATGACTGTAAATAGACAGACAGGATATACTTCATTGTAGTTAGTTTTACGTGACAACCAAAATTAATTCTTTTTATTTTCTATTTTCGCTAAAAAAACTCTCAGTTACAGGTATCATATATTTTCAATTAGGAATTCTTATCAACCTCATTATAAAACCTTCCTTTACCTTTTACTTTTTCATTAAAAGTAAATGTCTACTAAGATTATTTTTCTTGGGAGATGACATTGCAAAAAGTGTGCAAATCTCTTATTTAATTTTTGTCAATTTTTGCCATATGTATCCCACATCTTAAAGTTGATCAAATATGAAAAATCATTTTAGAATTTTTTGTGCGCAGAGTTTTAAAGTTTCGTTTCCCAGTAATTGGAATTATTCTATCATTTGAAACATTTCTGTTAAGAATTCAAGTCTTGCCATAAATAATATATATCATAAATCAACAAATTCAAAAAGACCTGGAATAAATCACAAATAAATCTTATTTATTTGAATTCAAAATATTTAAATGTTTTAAAAAATAGATATATTTAAAGGTTCTGATTGCTTTTACGTTTGTACAATACATATAATTTAAGAACAGAAATATTGAAAAGAAAAAAAACAATGATTGGAAAAATATTGTTGTTTGTTTATCTTTAGGTTTAAGATTTTCTAAAAAGCAAATTAAGTTAATTAATTAGAATTAAGTGGAATATACGTCTTATTGAGAGAAGATAGATTTAATTTATTTCTTTTCCAGGTTTTTAAGTGTTTATCTTAATCTTACAGCTTTATTAGTTTTTATTCATATTTTGTAGAGTTTTCTTCATGATTGCATTATACCTATCCTAACCTAAAATATCTCTATGATTGCATTATACCTATCCTAACCTGAGATTTCTCAATGGTAGAATTGAATCTATCCTAACCTGAGATTTCTCTATGATTGCATTATACCTATCCTAACCTGAGTTTTCTCAATGGTAGAATTGAATCTATCCTAACCTGAGATTTCTCTATGATTGCATTATACCTATCCTAACCTGAGATTTCTCTATGGTTGCATTGAACCTATCACACATAGGAGAGATATCCAACCCTGCCTCTCTCTCCTTATCCCCCTGCTGGAAGAACTCCTCCATGATCCTATCACACCACTGTCTGTATAAATCCAGGGGTTTGGTGGGGTTGGATAGATCAGCACAGTGAACCATATTTTGTAGAACCTAAACAAAAATACAATAAATAACAATTTATTTAAATCAGCTAATGAACGTTAAAAAGTTAAAAAATGATCGATGACTATAAGTTGTAATATCTGAATGCTTTGTTTGGAATTAAATTGATTTTTTTACGATCCCAGTCGTATGTTGCAACTTTCTGAATTTGTAAGGAATCTACGTAGGATTTAATTTTACAGGATTTAATATCTAAATTATTTGTTTGATATAAATTTGATTTTTTTACGATCCTCAATTTGTATAAACGCTCCGTTCTTCAGTATGTTACGTTTTTAACAATTTTCTTCATATAAACGCAACCGATAGTGAGTATGATTAGTAGCGATCAGAAGCGATTATTTATCGCCGTAAGCCTATACCCACTTTCATTTTTCGCGAACACTCCCTTTAAACCTTTCAACCCTTAAACCTTAAACCTTTAAACCTTTCAACCCTTAAACATTAAACCTTTAAACCTTTAAACCGTTAAACCTTTAAACCTTTAAACCTTTAAACCTTTAAACCTTTAAACCTTTAAACCTTTAAACCTTTAACCCTTTAAACCTTTAAACCTTTAAACCTTTAAACCTTTAAACCTTTAAACCTTTAAACCTTTAAACCTTTAACCCTTTAAACCTTTAAATCTTTAACTCACCTGTATTCTATCTGTATAGTTGTCTAGTAGTAAAACACCACTTCCAGCAACTTTTTTAGTTTCTACCATAGTTTTCAAGTCTGCGAGCAAACTCATATGTTTAGACATGTCAGTGGCGAGAACCTTAAATTATTACTTTTAAGATTTTTTGTTTTTAAATTTTTCTCTTCATTATTATTCAGTATTATTATAATTTTCAATAGAAAAATTTACCGTCAAAGAAAGATTGACGAAAAGAAAAATATTTTAAAGAAACTCATTTTTATTTAAAACAATATCTTGCTAAAGAGTTCCGACAAAGCCCGCTAATTTCTTTAATGATTTTACAAAAATAAAGTGGTAAATTTAATTGCACTAGCAAAAACTACCATATTCTGCTCCCTTTAACAATCAACAATAATTTCATATTCTTTCATTGATAATACAGAATTTTTGTTTTTCTCTCTTAATTGGAAAAAAATCACTTAACTTTAGATATTTTCTTTGCAAAATTTACGTCAAGGCCATTTGTGATTCACAACGATATTTTTAAAAACTTCTTCTCAGTTTTTTCCTAAGACGAAACTGTCAGAAATTTTTTTCTACATAAAATAACAAAAAATGTTGCTTTTTGTGCAGTAAACCAATATTTCTAGTATCTCTGTTTAGTAAACGGTTATACCATATGCTTACCATATCAATGACCATCTTCCTAAGGGTCTGCTTCTGCTTCTTGTTGAGGTTTATGAATATATCACAGTCTGGGTTCTGGAGGAGCTTGAATGCTACAGCTAGATGATGGTTCTCTAATACGCTCTCATCATTATACATCAGGGCTAACTCTACAATATATCATCATGTAAATGCCAATATATCATCATGTAACTTTTAGATACTGATTAGTGAATCCTGGATGATCAACCTACCTGAGCTAGTATTAATAAGATACTGATTAGTGAGTGCTGGATGATCAATTTACCTGAGCTAGTATAAATAAGATATTGATCAGTGAGGCCTGGATGATCCACATACCTGAGCTAGTATTAATAAGATACTGATTAGTGAGTCCTGGATGATTAACCTACCTGAGCTAGTGTTAATAAGATACTGATTAGTGAGTCCTGGATGATCCACCTACCTGAGCTAGTATTAATAAGATACTGATTAGCAAGTCCTGGATGATTAACCTACCCGAGCTAGTATTAATAAGATACTGATTAGTGAGTCCTGGATGATCAACATACCTGAGCTAATATTAATAAGATACTGATTAGTGAGTCCTGGATGATCAACCTACCCGAGCTAGTATTAATAAGATACTGATTAGTGAGTCCTGGATGATCCACGTCGTGAATGGCAGCTGAGAATATTGCAGTCATAATCTCTAGCGGTGTAAAAACCGACTAAAAAAGAAAAAAATTAATACATAAAAATAAAAAATATATTGCACAATGTTATACACACTGTATACTGTACACTGTACTATATGTTATCATCAAATAGATTCTAGTTCAATAAATGGCAACGTAAAATGTGTACACTCTCAGTACAGCTGTATTCTGACGTCACAAGTGCCAATTCAGTTTTTGTGTCCGACAAAATTATTAATAATAGTGATAATTTTAGAATAAAGTACTTAACCTCCAGTAAAATAAGTGCATTTTTATGTTTTCTTTAGTTTCTGTTTTTACACTTTTTTATTTAATCTTGGAAAGCATTTTAACTAATTTGAGAACATTTCGTTTTCCTTGTTATTTTTGACACTTGTGACGTTGTGTATAATGGGTCCATTTCTCTGTTGCCACCTATTTTACTTGATAATCTATTTGGTTATCATAATCTCTAGCGGTGTAAAAACGACTAAAATAAGAAAAATTATTACATAAAAATTAAAAATATATTGCACAATGTTATACACACAGTACATTGCACACTGTATTATATGTTATTATGGTGACAGTGAAGTAAAATGAAAAGGTGCATTGGTTTTCTTGGTGATGTCAACCCTCAGTATTGAAAGGTAAAACATGTTTTGCTCTAACTTGATGAAATTATTACCTCTAGCGCCGGTGAGGATAGAAGAGTATTCATGGATAGAGTAACATCTGCTGCATGTACACTGTTATGATAAGGAATATCCTAGATAATTAATATGCATTTAAAGGGACTGTCAACGTTATTTCAAGTCACCCACAATTTACAGTATGGCATGCTTGATGCACAAATGAACCCTTAAAACCTTCGTCTGTGGTTTCTCTGTAAAAGTAACTTGCAGATTATTTCAGTAAAGACGATCAAAATTTACAAAATTTACAGAATTTAACAAGATTCCAAATGGAAAAACGGTGATTACTGTGTTTTATGCTTAAAAGGTACCGTTGTGAATTGGGCATTCAACTCTTTACATAGGGATTCCATTTGAACATATAAACCCTTCCCCTGTTTACACTATTTTGTGTTTTCATCATTTAAAAATTAATTTTTCCTTTGTTGGCCAAAGGCTTTTTAAAAGTCTAAAGTGTATTTTTGATAAATATTAATAATTTCGATGAACTAAATAATGTTATTTTTATATCACCTTGAGATAGTGATCCTCTAAAGTAAGGAGTAAGGAGACAAGTTTCTCGCAAGGGATCTTGAAGATCTTCAATAGGTCACGATCCTAAACAAATTATAAATTTATTTAAGTAAGGTCACATAAATCTCCCTAGAAGAAGAAGTCAGGCCAGTACTTCAAATGAAAAGAAGTTTTCAGTGTGCTTTGAACAAAAAAAACAGGTTTACAGATTTTTACTTCTTATTGGTATAGGAACTTAGGTTTAAAGAATTCTTTTATAATCTATATATCTCTTTGCAACCTGATGTCTTAGATATTTTAAACTATGATTTTGCTAGATCAAATCGTCAAAGTGTAAAATATTGAAGGTGTTCACCCTCAGGTTAAAAATACATAGAGATTTTAAATTGAAGCAAATGTTCAGTTTCTTTTATCATCTGAAACTTAGCATTTAATCTATTATTATATTATTATATATATTATTATAATCCCTTTATTAGTTTTAGGCTCATCGAATTTTAATAAAAATTGTTAGTCCACTGCGTTTAAAAAAAAGTAAGTTTAAAAATAGAATTTATAAATAACAATCCAATTGTAGAGCTGTAATATAAAATCGATACATTTATAGTTCACCACACAACACTATCCCTGCGACGTAGTTATTACTCTCAAATCAAAATTTAAATTTTAAAATTAATCTTAGCTAATATAAAAATGAGAGAATGAGAAGTTAAAATCATTATAGTTCTTATTAGATTCAAGAAATAATATGAACCTAAGGATTCAAGACTGGATCCCCAGGTTAAAAAATTAACTGAACTTACAGGTTCAAAAACTAACTAAGCCTGTGTCGGTTAAAAATTCACTTAACTTATATGGTTTTTAAGAATTATCTGGACATACAATTTACTAAACCTATAGGACCAAGAATTAACCGAACCTATAAGTTAAAGAATTTACTGAACCTATAGGTTCGAGAATTAGCTAAACACACAGGTTCAAATATTCTGAACCTACAGGATTAAGAATGAACTGGATCTCTAGGTTCAAGAATTAACCGGTTTTTAACAAATTGAGATTTAAAGGTCAAGTATAGATTGTTGCTCTGGGTTGAAGAATCGACTGGTATTTAAAGTTTAAAATTGATCCAGGTTGCAGGACACGTTAATGATTATTAAAACAAATCTAAACTTGGAAGAGTTTTTAACCCTATTCCTGCTGGGGGGGGGGGGTCAATTTGACCCCCCCTGTAGTTTTTTTTACATAACTCAAAAAGTATTGGTCTGAGGCTGTTGAAATTTTCTGACTTTTCTTACAAACCCAAAGCCCTCCCTTTAGGCCTAAAACCGGGCTTTAATACTAACTGCCTGAGTCCTCAGGCACACTGCCTGAATGACTGCTTTTGCCTGTACCAAACTAAATCTTTGTTTTGACCCACTTTCACTTGTCAGATTTTGATAAAATTTAGCTTTTTGGAAAGCCTATGACATAAGGAAACGGATTGCACAAGTTTTGCGAAAAAAATTGCAAATTTTTTGCAAACAACCTGTCAAAGGAAATTTGAACATTTTTAGTTTTTCTTGATTAAAAATCAGGTTATTTAAAATTTTGCAAAAATTTTTGCATATTTGAAATGGCATGGTCAAGGGCTTTTCAAAAATGTATAATTTTTTCATTTTTTGGACAAATTTTTTTTTTGCAAACATTTTTACTATAAAACTGGATTTTGCGATAAAAAATTCAATTTTTGCAAATTTGCAAATTCTTTTGCAGATTCTAAAAGTAGAGCACAAGAGCTTTCTAATGATGTATCATTTGTCATATTTGGACATAAAACATGGAATTTAGAGGGGGGGGGGTCAAATTGACCCCCCCCCCAGCGTATCCTGGTTTTCAAGTACCCCAGCAGGGATAGGGTTAAGTCTTTCAAATATTTAATCCCAGACCAATGTTCAGTCTGTATAGTTAGATCACATACAATTTTGTAAGTAATCATAAAAGTTTTTACTTTCTAAACTTGTTCTTAAAACTTTCATTATGTAAGAATATTCTTAAGTCTCAGCTATAGATTACATAATTTTCTGTCAAAGATGGTCTAAAGTCTCAGCAAAGTTTACACAAGGAATCTTTGAATATACTTTTGCACTGTGTCCTAAATTTGCGTTTCCAATTTGCAATCTCAATTTGCGTCTTAATTTTGAGTCCTAAATTTTTCGTTCTCAATATGTGTCCTCAGTTTTTCGCTCTCAATATTGCGTTCTCAATATGCGTCCTTAATTTTGAGTCCTCAATTTTGCGTCCTCTTTGTTAGTCTAATTTGTGATTAATTCATTCATTTATTTTATAGTATAAATTGCACCCCCCGACCGACGGGTTTCCCGACGCTCTAACACCCTCGTACGTGAAGCGATCTGGCTGGCAGGCACATTTTTGGAACAGGAGGCTGCCTATCTGGTCCTCGAATCTTTGAAAATCCAAGGCAAGTTCAGTTTATTGCACCCCGGGACTAGCATCAAATTGTATTTCTAGCCTCACTTCACGTTCTCAAGGGATCAGGCTGAAACGTTCAGGGTACCCTCTACATTCCCTAGGCTAACTGGTCCTCGAATCTTGCCAAGATCCGACAACTTTAAAATTCCGAAAATCTTTGCACCCCCGAGACTGGCGGGTCTTGTCCCTACACTTGAACCCGACTCACAGAGCCCGTTACTATATTGATACCTATTGCCTAGAGTTATTTCCTTTCTAGTTTTAGATTCATTTTTCAAAGGATAAAGTTTTATTTGTTTTTAAACTTTTTTTTTAAATATCTTACCCTGAAGATTGTGTAGGTTACAGCTGTTAAAGGTCGACTGTTGGATAATACAGAAACCTAATCAAACATTTAAACAAGTTTTCAAAATAGAACTAATTTTAATATTTTCATAATAGATTTTGAATTTTTATATACATTTCGGTCATTTCTTGAGTACTCTAGAACTCCAAAATTAATCTTTAGAAAAGTAGGAAAGCAAAAAATCAAGAACTAAGATATCTTTCTCTTCAATTATTAGATTATGTTGTGAAGGGTACTCATGTGCAGAGTAGTAATTTAAAAAAATGTTTTAGCTGAAGTTTAAGTTGCCTGAAGTTATTGTAAATACAATCTTAAGTGATCCCCAATAAATTGGTTTAATGTTCGATTCACAACGGTACCCATTTAACCTTTATTATGTCGATTCACAACGGTGCCCATCTAACCTTTATTATGTCGATTCACAACGGTACCCATTTAACCTTTATTATGTCAATTCACAACGGTACCCGTTTAACCTACTGGATCCCCAGGTTNCACAACGGTACCCATTTAACCTTTATTATGTCGATTCACAACGGTACCCATTTAACCTTTATTATGTCGATTCACAACGGTACCCATTTAACCTTTATTATGTCAATTCACAACGGTACCCGTTTATTATGTCAATTCACAACGGTACCCGTTTAACCTTCATTATGTCAATTCACAACGGTAACCCGTTTAACCTTTATTATGTCAATTCACAACGGTACCCGTTTAACCTTTATTATGTCAATTCACAACGATATCCATTTAACCTTTATTATGTCGATTCACAACGGTACCCATTTAACCTTTATTTTGTCGATTCCCTTATTTTCTCTGCTGCAGTTTTAAAGAGAAATCACAATAATAAATTATCAATTTTTCCAAGAGAGAAAAAAGGACATCATCGTGGTGATTCTGGCATTTTACTTGTTAAAGGGGGCTGTGGTTTCCATGGTGACCTTCCAATTAAAGGAAGCATGTCAGATTCCGGACGATATCCTTTAAACATGTATCTGATCAATAATGTGGAAGCTATCGTCGTTTTTATAGGTTCAAAAAAGATAGAAATGCGCAAGTCACTTAACACAGAAAACACAATTAAAATAAATAACTTTGATAGAGAAATTATGGCTTAATCACTTTAAGGAAGAGGGTGATTTAAGTTTATGTGTACATTCCTTTTAATTTAAATAAGTCTATGAAAATAATTTTGTAATCTAGTAATTGGTATGAATTACAAAAATATCTTAACAATCACCTTAACGAAGAAAATACGAATTGTACGAGTGATTTATAAATTTAGATTTTACTAAAAATTATATTTTGGATATTTGAGGTTTCAGTTACAAATTTTAATTTGTGTTCAATTAAACCTCATATGGCGAATAAAGAGTATAGCATAATTTTTATTAATTATGTTTTCATGAAAAAAGAATACATTTTTAAATTGTTAAATTTCCTTAAAGATATCCAGCCCCCATTGATCAACGTGCTCCAGACATTCACCTGAAAAAAGAACGTAGTTAAGAAGAAGCAAACTCTTTAAAGTCCAGGAAAATTAAGATTATAAAAAAGAAGAAAATTCAAAATAAAACGGAACAAACGGAAAGAAAGCCAAAATATTGAAACAATAAATCAATACCAAATATTAGGAGAAAAGAGGTAGAAAAATGTGGAAATAATTTTAAATGTAAATGTAAAGCATAAAATAACCTTAAATACGTTATTAACTATTTATAACACTGTTATTTGATTTTAGCGAGCTTCAGCGAGGGACAAAATATAATCTAGAAAGGCAAAACCTTCGAGATATAGAGTAAACTTAATTTAATCGGGTTTTTTAAAATTATTAAATAACGACGACGAAAAATTAAGTAAAAATAAAGTAAATAAAGTAAAGTAAAGTGAATAAAGTAAAAATAAAGTAATCTAATTAGATGGTTAGGAACATATTTCTCAAAAGAAAAATCAATGCTAGAATCAATTATTTCGTTTTCATCATTATATTACATTGCTTATTTTCTTTGAATTTATTCGCAGATTTCTTCAATTTCTTTAAATGTCTTCTTTTCAATAATAATTCCAGAAAATCTGCAGATTTGTGAAAAATGAGAAACCAGAATAATGAGAAAATATAAACTTATAATTGAACAAGATTACTTATTTTCGATGATTACTGTAGAATTTTTTACATTTTTTGTCGTTGTTATTTAACAATTGAAAAAAAACAATCTGAAAACGTATTCACCCAAAAGTACGATTTTGAACATCGACTTTGCGCTCAAACTAAGGATTTACAGATCTTTAAAAAGTTGTATATGTCTCAAATGAATCCTAGAGAATTTGTCCACAACACTGCATACTCAGTTCAACTACTTTACATAACCGGTCTGTCCCTTTAAGATGATCATTAATATATGTGTTTACGTATGTTTACCTAATTCCTCTTCATGTGTTGTCAGAACACCAAACTTAGGCAATCCAGAACTCAACAGAGATACACTTAACATTAACAACCAGGTTAAGAAGGTTTACAGTACAGAGTTCACCATACAGAGTGCAGGGTACAGGGTAAAATTGGTACATATTACAGGGTACAGGGTACAGGTACAGGATACAGGGTACAGGTACAGGATACAGGGTGCAGGGTAAAGGGTAAAAGGTACAGGGTACAGGGCACAAAGTACAGGTACAGGGTACAGGGTACAAGGTTCAGGGTGCAGAGTACTGGGTACAGGGTACAGGTACAGGGTAAAGGGTACAGGGTATAAGGTTCAGGGTGCGGTGTACTGGGTACAGGGTACAGGCAGATCAAATCAAGCTGGAATTTTGCTAAATGTTTTATAATAAATTTTGCAACTATTTATTTAAAAAAAGAGATCATATGTTTGAGTACTGAGTACGGATTGAATGCAACTTATATTTACTCCTAATTCCTGATGAAAAATCTCTATCCCGTGATCCATCAATAAGAATTTTACTACTTTCACTTTTTTATTCAGACTTTTTCCCCCATCAGTTATAAAGAGTACATTTTCCGTGAGGATAGCTAGGCAAGGTGCAAATTACGAAAGTGTTTTTGCAAGAATTTGGCAAGGTTGCAGTTTCTAATTGAAGATTGATCCTGTCTAATCTAACAAGGAATAGATATTCTTTATCAAACACGGGTTCCCAGTAAATAAAAATATATGAGAGGTTTTTACACTGCAAAAGTAGAGTTGGACCCCCCCCCCCCCTCCCAGTAAAGTATGTTTTCCCACTGTCGAAAGTTCTTCCTTTATTCATATCAAAATGATATGCTCTTCTAATTAGTTGTAATTGCGTAGAAATCAAAAATGTAAATAGAAAGTCGTCGTCATTTTATTGATAAATAAGACGACAATACCTATTGGCGTGCTCTAGGGACTTATTCCCAACTCCGGTGATGATGGACATAACCTTACTACCATCATCTCCATACTTGGCTCCATCATCTCCTACAGCTCCATCAACCTGCTCACTTCGCACATCCACGTCCTGGTCCTTATCTAGAATAGAGATGGAGTTTAGTTAATCCCTTCAGAAAATCCTTTATGGTCAAGCTGTGACTTCTGATCAGGATTTGACCGATTAAAAACAAAAATTTCAATGTTTCTATCTATATTATGGCGCTACGACATCTGCTCTATTTCCATTTGCTCTATGGCCATTTGCTCTAGTTCCATTTGATCTATCAAGTCATTTGCTCTATACGTCATTTGCTCTATATTCAATCTGCTCTATACCTCATTTGCTCTATGACTAAACACGTCATTTGCTCTATAACCTAAAAATACACTACAAAATAGCTTTCATTGGAATTCCTGAGCGTAACTTGACTCTGAAATGCGGTTTTTTTTTGAAAATTCGCAAATTGCAGTTTTAATCAGTTCTTCAAAGTTCATCATGACAGAGAGACTGCTCAATAATAAGAGGGGTAAAAAAACCTAATATGTGGTGAAAACTATATTTAGCTTGGTCTCACAATATGCACAAATACCAGACAAACAAAACTATCTCCAGGAAGTTGGTGGAATAATGAAACTGTAGGAAGAATTGTAAAATGTAAAATTGTAAAAATATAGTTTTAATGTGATTAGATGCTTGTAAAATATGTTTATAGAGCAAATGACGTGATTACTCATAGAGCAAATGTTGAGTAGAGCAATTGGACCATCACAGTCATAAAAATGTGTATAGAGCAAATGACGTGTTATGTCATAGATCAATTGACGTATAGAGCAGATGACATATAGAGCAAACGTCGTAATCTATGAGCTATAGAGCAAATGGTTAATAGAGCAAATGGCACTAGAGCAAATGGCCATAGAGCAAATGGAAATAGAGCAGATGTCGTAGCGCCCTATATTATACTTTTTTGTTGGCATCAGCGATTTCAATGAAAAAATTTATAAAGACATAACCCTGCAAGATTATGGATAGTTTAATTAAAGAACAAAACGCGATTGAAGAAATAGAAGAAAACGAATGGACCTTTCCCAGGTTAATCCTGGGTGAAAAAAAAAACAAAGCTGGCTTTCAGACAATTTCTTCAAATTAAAAGTTTTCATCCTGATTATCCAATTCAGCTTTTGTAGATTAGCGCAATATTAAATAAAAGTTTCAACCTCAGAAAAAAAACTAATATTTTGAATTAGAATTTAAATCGTTCCTCAAATATTTGAGCTGTTCTCAAAGAAAGTGTTCTTGTCATGATTTGGTGAAATTAGAGTCTAATATTTATGTCTAGTTAGTAGGTAGGCTTTTCGTGATAATGTTTCCACATTAGGTAAAACCAACTTGTATTAGTTTTCTGTTTGTCTAGTTTAAATATCTGATTTTTAGCCCACAGTGCTTTCATTTATAGAGGAAGAATCGGTGAGTACTGTATACTGTGTATCAGTTTACTGTTTTGTAGTTTAAATATCTGATTTTTTAGCTTACAGTGCTTTCTTTTCTAGCTTACAGTGCTTTCATTTGAAGATGAAGGAGGGTTTTTGGGCTGTGTTTGTGAATAAGCTTTCTGTTTGTCTGGTTTAAATGTCTGATTATTAACTCACAGCGCTTTCAGGGCTCGCTGAAACACCTGCTAAAAAAATTTCTACGTGAATAATCTATAAAAAAATGCCTTACAATTCCTAAGAACGTAATATAAAGGACCTAACTGCCCTAATAATGGCCTACCTAAGAATGTATTGCAGATATATTCTGAAACTTGGTTCCCGGATTTAGACTCCGAGAAGTGGCTCAGCTCTTTGTTCAGCATACGTTTAAACTAAAATAAAGATATATTAGAACTCATCAAGAAAAAAATTGTTGTGACTTACTAATATGCCATGGAGCCCCCAGGGTACCGTTGTGAATTGAATATGCCACTCTATGGCGGCTCACTTTAAATTAGTCTACATATGTCACTTTAAGGCGGGTTATTCACAGATGTGAAATATGTGAACTTTATATAATCAAACAATATGTATATATATAATTCAAGGATTCACAGTTCAAGCCCATCAACAGCAAAATCAAAAACTGACGAATTGAGCCATACAGATGAGTCCTAATAGGACAAAACACTGTGTCTATGGATATTATTTGTTCGTTTAGTTCGCTGAACTTGAGCACTTGAGCATTATGCAAGGCCCTCAACTTGTAATGAGTTGGTTGAGCTCTCTGGTCCCTATTTCATTACCCAATCATCAGGGATTTACGGAGCAGTGGTTGGCGGGGCTTGAACAAAAAACTATTGTAGAGGGTATATTTGGATATATACATATAATACATAGATTTATTTTTATCTCCGCATAAAATATAATTATACATAACAAATGACTTGTCAAATATGAAAGATCCATGCGTCAAACTTTTACTAAAAATTTGTCATTTGCAACAATATTATATTTAGATATAAATATCATACACTTTCATATTTTGTTCCTTGAATTTTAATTCCTAACTAAAAAAATATTAACATTTTAAAACAAGAGTTTAATAATCATTTTTTAAGATAAATTTTTTCTTCTTTGTAATCACCACTGCCAGCCTCTTGGGTAGTTATTTGTAATGCAAGTTCTCTTAAAGGAATTGAGTTTTTGTAACAAACTCTGATTTTCTAATTTCAATATAATTACAACCCAATGTCGTAGACCTTTAATATTTCAAACTATGAGTGCTATAAGATCAAATAATGTAAATTTGAAATATCAAAGGCTTACGCAATAAGGTTACAGAGAAATAAGTGTTACAAAAACTGAATTTGTGGCAAAGACTCAATTCCTTTGCATTATTTAGGAAGGGATTCTAGAATATCCAAATAGAAAACTATTTGTAAAAGAAAAGTAACTAACTCTTGATGACAAAGAAAAAAGCTGTGAAAAGTTAGCAATGAACAAAATAAACTAAAACTCAGGGAATAAAGCATTAAATATTATTTTTATTGCAAGTAAACAATGAATTTAAAAATTTAAAACTGTAATAGAACAATCTGTCAAATGGGTGTTCGCTCTTTCATTGCTGAGTCGTCAGATATAAGAGCTACGTCATCAAACAATTCCTTTTCACGTCATCATTAGAGTTGGGTATTGTTATTAAGATTTAAATTTTTTTTTTAATATTTAAGGTTTTTCGTATTAAGAGGATTAGCATTCTACAAGAATCTTAGTTGTTATCCTATATTTTGCGTTTAATCATAAATATATTCTTAATTTTATAAAATTATTTATCAAAACTAATTTTTTAATCTTTTATATTTTTTGTTATTTTAGCCTTAACTACAGTGGGACCCTGGAATATGAAGACGACCTTCCAGCAATCTTATGTGTATTTGATGTTGTTTTAAAGTAAATAGTTTTAAAAGTAAAATGGGTGTTTAAACACTGCACCATTCATTACTGCATTTCAATGCAAATGACTATTTTTAATCACTACTAGGCTTTCAGGTTGCTTCCCGCCAGTCTTCTCTTTTAATTGTGAACATTTTCTAAACATTGTAAAACAAAAACAAAAAAGTTCCCGGATTATATAAAAAAAATTTCGTGGATTTTTAAATCTAATGAAAATTTAATTTTGTTGAAGGCTTTTTTTATTTTTATCATTTATAAACCATCCCTGGTGCCATGTGAGGTCCCACACAAAGTTTGGGCCCGATCGGTTCAGCTGTTTTGACGTTTATTGGATACAAACAAACAGACACCCAAACAGAGAAGCAAAGTATATATGTAGATAAATTTGGCGTCTTTCTATTTCACAAGGTTCTACTATGTCTTATGTGAAAGTAAAAATGTACACAATGTTATCAAAGTAAACTAATAGGGAATACAATCTTGATATATATTATAACACATCTTAATTCTTGTGAATTTGTTTTAAAAAAGAAAAGGAGATGCACATCACTATCCATCAATTCTCTCATTGAATTCTAACCCCCTGAGATACAGTTTTCTTTAAAGAAATATATAGATTCTATTTAGCAAGATAATTACAAAATTCATTTCATCAACTTGACAAAGGAACAATCATGCATCTCATACTCTAATATTGTAATCCCCATATCTTTGCGTCCTGAAGGTGCAAACCTTTAATAATTCAGTGTAAACCGGCGTAATTCATACCAAATTTACAATATCATAATGCTACCACTTTTCCAAGATATATTGATATTGATAAAATTATAAGTTGAGGCAAGTAATCAGTTACTTTATGCTTAATGTACTAATTGTATATCTCTATTAAAATGTCTAGACAAATTGTTTGCTATTTTATATTTTATAATAATACAGTACAGGGGTACCCACAATGAATTTAACTTTAATGTCGACCTAGACCTTTTTAGTTATGACGAACTGTATTATGATTGTCGTCTTCTGGTTGAAAAATGTCTTCTAAAATGTCTATTGTTTATTAAAGGAATAGGTAAAGAGAAACGGAAATGTTATATTCCGTGAAATTTCGAATATTAGAAATAAAAAAACAATCGTCTATGCCCTGAGTCCCATCCTTTGTCCTAACCCTTTATCTTAATAAATAATTTATAAATATATATATTTGAATGGTTACACCGCTTCCTTGTTCATGCTTGTGTAATTATGCATTGTTCCTCTCAATTCATAAAATTTGTTTTAAAACTTATTAACACATGAAAGTTCCTGAAAAAATAGTAAATCATTCTATAAAAATGATCTATAAAGAGCTCAGAATGTAAAAAATAAAATGGATGAAAATTTTCAATTTGTTTAAAAGGAAAGCGAGAGACACGCATTTATGTAGAGGATAAATGTGACCTTTAGCTCTTGTTTTTTTATTTCGTCAAAATAAAGTCAAATGCTCTTTCTCGGATCATAAATTATCATACATAATATTTATATCAACTGGGTCTACAGGGCGCTTTGCGTCAATTTTTGGTAATCATCTAAACTTAAAGTTGCCAACCTTTCTTACATTTTCAAATAATAAAAATTCAAAAATTTCAAAGATTATTATAATTATTTCGAGGCGAGAATTTTTTAATTCTGACCAATCATAAACCTTCCCTGGATTAATTTTAGTTACAACAAAAACGTGTCTTATCTATTAAACAAAATAGACAAAAAAGCCATAATTGTTAAAGAAATACACTTCATAATATATATTTTGTATGCGGCTGATCGAATGACTATGTAAGTTTTCTATCAATATCTATAGATCGGTTTCTTCAATTGAGCTTATATCATGTTACATAAGTGTTCTACTCGAGACTATAGCTTTATATTTCATACATTCAAACATTTTATGCGTTCAATAAATCTTGTTTGTATATATACTTTCACGTTTTTCAGTTAAACGATTATTTATTAAAGAAAATTTTTATTGTTAAAGGGAATTATATTTTGAATTTTGAATCTAATTATCGATGTGTGAAAAATATATATTTGCCTTTTTGTAAACGGGATAAAAATGTAGGCACGCATTAATCTCTAGAGAAGGGGACGATTCATTTGCTCCGTTTTGCCAATCAGAAGTTAAGCCATTTAGAAATTTTGCACGTGATCAATAAGATAACTTTCATTGGTCGAAATCCATCAGGGATATCCAAAAGAGAGGATTAAGAAGAAAATCAAAAGTGTCCAAAGTGGATACAGAGATTTAGTAATCGGGAATAAGAGTATACATTTGTTTATAGCTATCGGTTCTTTAATTCAATTGAACCGGAGTTTTCAGTTTGGGCATCATTGATGGAATAATGACTAATTGTGAAGATTACGATTTTAAAAAGTATTTAAAGTTTAAAACAGAATTAGACTGATCATCACTTAGTTTATTGTGCTTGAGTGATTTTATTGGTATTGTTATATTCCCGTCATTAAACACGGATATTCACATTTGGAGATAGATGAAAGGAACTGAACTCTTGTCACAAACTCTTATTTAATAATCTCTATATCTTTGCAACCGCCTGGAGTAAACCTGAAGTATTTTAAAACTAAATTATTTGATCTAACAGATTTAATTTTTTTGAAATATCAAAGGTCTATGACATCGGGTTACAGAGATATAGATATTTTGTGGCAGTTCTTTTAATCACTATCAAATTTTTGATATTCTGGAAGTTTTAATACGTTTTTTCATATATTTCTTTTTCCTTTCTTAGAATTTAGAAAACTTCTGTCGATATTTATTTGTTTTAGATATTTATATATTTAAATGAATTAAAAAGAATTACATGGAATCAATTTCAACCTAGTTCAACCTGGTATGATGTTAACTTTGTAAAATTGAAAAATAGTCTATTCTAGTGTATTCCAGTCTATTCTAGTCTATTCTAGTCTATTCCAGTCTATTCTAGTCTATTCTAGTCTATTCTAGTCTATTCTAGTCTATTCTAGTCTATTATAGTCTATTCTAGTCTATTCTAGTGTGTTCTATTCTATTCTAGTTTATTCTAATCTATTCTAGCCTATTCTAGTCTATTCTAGTCTAATCTAGTATACTCTTGTCTACTTTGTCTATTCATGTCTATTCTAGTCTATTCTTGTCTATTCTAATCGATTCTAATTAATTCTAGTCGATTCTATTCTATTCTATTCTATTCTATTATATTATATTCTATTCTAGTCTAGTCTAGTCAAGTGTAGTGTAGTCCATTATATTCTATTTCTAGTTTAGCGTAGTCCATTACATTCTATTTCTTGTTTAGTTTAGTCCATTATATTCTGTTCTAGTCAAGTCATAGTGGTATATTATCAATGTATGATAAAGAAATCTATTTTTAGAAAACCATTGAACTCAACTCAGATTTGTTTA